AAATATGGTTTTACTGAAACTAATCCTTGTTCCCTTTTTGTCATTTAATCGTAGGAACCAACCAACTTAGTTTATTTTTCGCAGCAATTTATATTCAACAACCCAATCTTGCAAAACTTGATATAATTTATTATTTTCGAAGTCGTTAAAACAATTTAACATTTAATTCCATTTTTTTGTCCTTGTGGGGACTGTGTTAATTAACTTGCATGTAGATGGATTTGGTAGATCACACAATTGGATAAAATATCTATTTTTGAAAACTGTATTGACGGTATTTACTCATACGACATTATCTTGATGTCATCCATTTAGAGAAGAATTATTTTGATAATGTGTTTAATGCAGTTATATGTGTAGGGGAGAAATACGAACAATTCTTATTTCAGACGTGGTATGGATCATATGAATATATATACAAAAGGAGTTGCAAGTGTATCAACGTAGTATGATCACATATATCAATCAAGACAGTTATGTGTTAGATTGGTTGGACGCTATCAACATTTATAATTGGTTGAAGCAAGAAGTGAAATCTCCTTATGATTATTCATCGAATATTTTACACTGTTCTAGCACAACTAATAACACATTTTCTAGAAAGAAGAGTCACGCTTGTTATGTGTTTATGCAATGACTACTTCTATTTTCATTTTGTGGTTATCTTTGGTCGACCACACATATGAGTTGCAATATCTGAATTGTGAAAATTTATCAGACTTCAATTCTATGTGCTAAGGAACTATATGTTGCAGACATTGAGAAATTGTAAAATGTTGTTGTCCTACACCGAGTAAGATGGAAAAGGTATTTCCACGTAGTTTAATTGGCTCAATGCAATATTTGGTCATCTATCTATCATGGTAGATGAAAATTTGTGGACCAGTAGAACACCATTAGAACTATCTATTCGCGCACTTGATGAAAAAGTTAAAGGAAAAAGCGGAGAATAAACAATTTTTTGAGAGGTCTTTGTTGAAACTTTTTAAAATACAAGATGTTGGTTTATGTTGTTAGCATTACTTTGATAGAAACTTAACAAAGACTTTGAATCTAAAGGCTTTGGGAGCAAATAATGTATTAGAAGACATTATTTGACCAAATCCATAAAAGTACAGTGGGACAACCACATATTTTGGAATCTAAAGGCTTTGGGAGCAAATAATGTATTAGAAGAACACTGGACCAAGATAAGAGCACGATCTGATGGGGCACTATTTAAATGAGAAATCTGAATTGCATAAAAAATCAATGCATTTATTATTAACCAGACACCTATCTAATCTCCTCCACAGTCTGCCATTTGATCTAACACCTGCCCATGTATATTTGCAGCCTGAATAAGGAAGATCAATAAGATTACACAAGGAGATGCAATTTGAAAATTTCTGCAAACTGATGAGAATTGGAACGCCCTTCCTTGATGTTTATTAAAATTGGCAATAGTATTAAAATCACCCCTACTAACCAGGGCTCTTTAATGGTTCTAGAAAAATCTGATAAAGCAGCCCTGAGATTTCTTCTTTCTATATAGCTATGATTTCCATAAATAGCAGTGAACCATCCTAAAAAATTGCCTTTCTTAACCTTGAAATGGACAAATTAATCATTCCAGAAGAAATCAAATAGATCCACTGAATTAGAGTCCTAGTATAGCCAAATTTTATTGATATCAGAAGCTGCAACTTTATTGAGACCAATTTGGGTTTTGTAATAATCTGCTTTAGACCTATCCACAATAGGCTCGATAACAATGAGGACATTAACACTCCATTGATTAATTAGGGAATTAAGTCTAGAATTGGTGACTTCTAGACCCCTAACATTCCAAATGAGCCAATCCATTGGGCTAAGGGAAGGGAAGCCTGTGAGAACCCTTGGTTATCCCTTCTTTTTGCTACATTCCTTGTAGTAATAGTAGAGTTTTCAGGTTCTTGTTTTCTTCTTGATCTTATGTGAGTAACCTTTGTAAACCCCCCTTGTTCTTCTAGTGTAGGTTCTGAAATAGCGGGTTGCCCGTGTGCCATATTTTCTTTTATTGCAGTTTCTTTCTCCTCCATATGCTTTTTTATTTTATCCACTATTTCACTAATTTCAGTCCATCCTTCCTTCCAGGCCTCACAGTCAATTTTTGGAGAATTTTCACTATTTGAATGGTATTCCTTTAAAAGAAGTCTTTCACATGTGAATCATCCTTAGCTTTTGATTATTTTTTTGCAGACACCAATGCAAGGACATATCAATGATTTAAACAGCCACAGTCTCCTTCAAAGCCCGATGAGAGTTCTCCTCTTGATGATGTATCAGCCCCAGCTGAGTAGTTTGTGGTGCGGGCTCCATAATGATTTCCTCTACCTCAGAATCTTCATTCTCCTTGTTAGGAAATTGATGCTTAGAAGTAGTGGCAAAGTCTGTAATAGTTAGATCATTACTTTGCATTTTATCCTTGCCCTTCTCTTCCCTTGTAAATTTAATCCCCTTTTCAATGTTGTTAGCTTTGGGCTGCCATATCTCCTTATGTGTAGCTTCCACTAGAATGTTTTCAACTGGCTGTTTGGGACAACTCAAATTTGAATGTCTGAAGTGAAAGCACTTAGTACAGTACTCAAGCCTATTTTCATATATAATAGGTTGCATGAATCCAAAGGATCCACACTGGATCCATACCTTGTTTGGCATCTCCTTTGTCAAATCCAGCTCCACTAAGATCCTAGCCAGAGTAGGTCTTGCTAAAGAAGCCGTCGCAACATCAATTTTTATGGGCTTCGCAATCAGGCTAGCTATATCAAACATAGCCCTTTTATCCTGCAAATGAATAGGCATGTCATCGAATCCAAGCCAAACTGGAACCACCGGGGATTCCACGTTTGACCTAAAATCCGGAGTCCACTTGGTTACACGCATAGTACATCCATTAACGGACCAAGTTTGCCTATTCCAACACCTCAAGTAATCTTCCTCTAACTCAAACCTTATGAGTACATACTTCTGATTCAGTAGCCCCAAATAAAATTTACCTTTGAAACCAATAATTTCAAAGGATTTGGGTAGATTGATCATACTCGGCCTTGTTGTGAAAAAATAACCAATGCCCTCTTGTGCCTCTCTGCCAATTCCTGAATGTCGCCCTCCGGAAAATGAATCGCAGGAACACCCTTGTAGCGAGCAGGATTTTTTTATAGAACATTTTCTGATTGATTAGCAACGACAACAGCAAAAGATCTCCTTGTCCACGGCGATCCAGGTGGCTGAGGCGGCTGAGCCACCGTAAACCTAGAAACATTAATCATCGCATCCTCCATCTATATGATACGGAGTGATATTCAATTTTCTATAAATAGAAACCTTTGCATATTCATATATACTTATGAAAAGAGGTTAGTGTCAGTTCAGTACACAAAGTCGAAACAGATAGAGTAAAGAGTACCTGATGATGCAATCGAGGCTGAGAAGTACATAAAATGACCAAACGAGTGTTAATTTGGTACGAGGTTGTATTTAAGTGAAATTAAAGCTGACATGACCAAATGTTTAGTGATGTGGCAAAATTAAAGATACAGTCAATAAGTCAAACAACCTTAGCGTTCTTCTCTCACTACCCAGCTCTTGCGTTCAGCAGTTTCCAAAAGCCGCAAAAGGCCGCCGCCCACATACGATGAACAGTACATTCTCAAGAGGGACTCTAGGAATAAGTTTTGAACGAGCACTCCAGCCTCGGAGGCAGGTCTTCCTCACTCTGGAGCATCACACCGAAGCCTTTGGATATGCCTTAAGTATCAAGGGTGGCTCGAGAAAGCTTCTCTCATCATCGGAAATCTAGCTAGTGGCTTCCATCTTTCCTCACCGGATCCCGTTTCTGAAAGTTGTCGCCTGCCAGATCCCTTCGCTGAAAGTCACCACCCACCGGATCTGAAATTATAATTCCTCCGTTTGACGGTTGTCATCGCACTATCACCTCTTATGTCCAAGTCGTGACTTCCATGTCGTCATTTCCCATGTGTTGCCGGCGTGCAACTTCAGGGATTGAAGGGGTTTTATGCAATTTTGCAGGCCAATTGGACTTCTTTTATAATTTCAAAATATTTTAAAAATAAAAATGAAGGGTTTTCCATTAATAATTGCCAACTCAGCGTTTTATCTCACCTAATGTCTGGTAGGACTAAATTAGCACTGATTAGCAGAGTTTATGTACTTCTCAGCCTCGATTGCATCATCAAGTACTCACTCTATCAGTTACGATTTGATGTACTAAACTGACACTTTCCTCCTTATGAAATATGGTATACTAAAATGACAATTTTTCATTGGATTATTAGCTTATTTTATCCCAAACGATCATCAAATTCACAAATCTATCTTATTCTTTCACTTTTATCAAAAAAGACTCAAACTTCATCTTTTTGAACAATTATGCTTTTCTTTTTTGTTTTTTCAAAATTACATAGTTTATCAATACATATAAGATACAAGCAATACAAGTTTGTAAACATAAAACTAGAAAGAAGTGAAAAAAATATGAAGTATTAATATGATTTTCTTTTTAATTTTTACTAATTCATCTATTGAAAGTGTAATTGTGAGAAAAGTTGAAGTTTGAGTCCTTATTTAATAAACGTGAAAATATGGAATAGATTTGTGAATTTGATTATAATTGGAGATATATTCAGTTAATAATCCCTTTTCATTTTAATATGGTATAAGGAAATGTGAAATGTGGAAATGTGTAAAATATTTTACATTAGCGTAAATATAATCAAAATATTATCAAAGTTATCTAATATGAGTTAATATTTATATTTCATAAATAGGACTCACTATTATCATTTTACCCCTAATATAATATAATTAAAACCGTAAATGTATCGATCTTCTCTTCTGCGTCGATTGCTGCAAAACCGGCCTCTCTCCTAGCGGCCGTTCCGAGTTACAAAAGATATCAATTAGGTTATTCAAAAACAAATTAAACGATTAACATGCAATTAAGCCATCAAGAACGGAACCCTAGATCATGATAAATACCCCTTCTTCTTTTTAGGCATTAAAATATAGATTCATTGATATATTAATAGAAAATTCAACCATGATGGGGTTCATCAATTCTCCCTACGAGATAAGTATGATAAAATTATCAAAAAAAATGTCTGCAAACCAAAAGCTAACATGTCAAAGAAACTTTAGACTCTAGTCATCAAACAAGCCCAGCCCCATTTCCTCTTCACTCTCTTCCTCAACGACGACCTTCTTCTCTTCAACGGCCGGAGCAGCAGCGGCACCACCAGCAGTCGGCGCAGCAACGGCAACCGCACCACCACCGCTGCTGCCACCTACATTCATGATGAGGTCATCGATGTTCTTCTTCTCACAAAGCTTGGTGAAGAGGCTAAACCAGTAGGACTCCACCTGAACGTCGGCCGCCTTCACGATCGTAGCAATCTTCTCTGCAGTGACAGGGATGCCTTCCTCGTGGAGGATCAGAGTGGCGTAGGTGGAAGCGATTCTCCGACCGACATATTTCCGCAATGACTGAAAGGAGACGATGGCGAAGTCTATAGGCACTCGATTCAGAATGACGGCAAGGCTTTTTAATCCCAAATCTCTAATTAAATCTACTCACAATTCATAATTGAAAGATCAATAGAATTGAGAAGAAAAGAATTAATTGTCATTAACAAAAAAAGATAGAACTTACAAACAATCTAAGAATATTGAAGATTCAAAGCTCAAAAACCATAAGAAATTCGTCTCCGAGCTTCTCTCTAAACTCCCCCTCTCAAATAAGGGTTTAAAGCTTGTTTAAATAGGAAAAATACACTTTTGGGGCATTTTTAGTCACACACGGTCATTCACACGGCCGTGTGCGCGGCCAAGTTTACCGTTCTCGGGTGAATAGTAACTTCGAAAATGCACACGGCTCTGCATATGGTGTGTGAACAGCTGTGTGCACCAGACACAATGTTCAGAATGCACACGGCTCTACACACGGTGTGTGGACGGCCAGGTGTACGTAACAGAATCCTCCAAGGTGCACACGGCTCTGCACCCGGTGTGTGGACGGCCGTGTGGGTGGCCAAAGACAACTTCTTCACTTTTCTTCCTAACAAATGCTCTTTAAGTCTTCGTGTGATCCCGTGGGTGATCCTAGAGCTCTTTAGTCTTAAGAATGTCGTCTTTAATGCCTGGTTGACCTCCAATGCTCCTAATGAACTCTCAATTGCCTCTCGACTCATTCCGATAACTTCTCAAACGTCGGTGTCGGGCTTAATTCCCTGATTTTCACTTCTAAAAACAACAAACGCATACCAAACCCGGTAAACCGTGACTTAAGCTAATTAAACACTTTGTGACTCAAATATATAGATTAGGAAAAGTGGCAAAACTCAATCCCAATACGCATCAAATGCATGTTGAAATATGATACACCCTAATAAGATTCAGGATCCACAGAAGAACAAGGTTTCTGAGACTCAGGCTCCGGTGGAGGCTTTTGGGGCTACAACAACGGCAGTTGAAAAATGGGTTCCTAAAACAAATATTAATGACAAACAGAATCGTTGTTCTTTTGGGAATCAAGGGGAAAAGGATTCGCTTATTACAAAAAAAAAGGAAAAAAAAAAGGTGAATGATTATTGCATTGCTTCCACTTATAAAGGTCCATTTGGTGTGATTGAGGAGGTTTTCACTGAGCAGCCCCCAAAGCCTAGTGGTTCTTTACCAATTAATGAGAGAGTGATGGATTATTATAATCTTCTGAAACTAATTCAGAGGAATTCATATGATCCAGCACTCTACAAAAGGCTATTCATCAGATGGAACTTCTGTTTTTTCGTTTTTTACTAATTATCATTTCATTAATGACAATTTTGTCTAATATAATCAGAACATTTTTTAAAACATGAGAGTTCTATATATAAACTTTGATATTGTACTTTCAAAAAAAAAACTTTGATATTGTTTTAGTCATATTTAGGGAATTCTTCTTATTAACATACACTCCCTTCGTCCAAAAAAAAGCTTCTCATTTCTTTTTTTGAAAAATTTTGTGCAACTAACATTCATTTTCATTTTTCGTACTCATTCATTATCATATATTTTCATTTTATTCTTACTTTCTTAAAACTCCGATACAATCAAACCTGGAAGAGTTTTATGGGACGGATCAAGTATATTATTATGTGATGCCCCATCCTATTTTGGAGGTATATTGATAATGTACATGTCAAATTTCCGCGTCACCAAACACCATCTATAGGGTTGAATTTAAATGCCAATGGTCCAATACTAGCCTACTACAAAAAAGAGATAAAAAGGGGCTAAAAGTGCTTTCTGAGTGTGCTCCTTTGCTAAAATGGAGACAAATATGCTCTTCAATCAATCTTGCCCCATAAATAATTCTCCCATTTATAATACATAATTAGGAATTCACTCATTGTATCAATATACAACAAAAGTGTTTGCAAGAATTCCACAATCACTCGCATCTTCTTTTCTAATCTTTAGAGTCCTTTTCTTGTGGCTCATTTCATCACCTATATAAAGATTTAAAAGGGAAAAAGCAGGACAAGAGGTCCAAAAAGATAAATAATCATTATGTATGTGGGTCATTGAAAGTCGCAGATGATACGTGTAGTCTTAAAACATTTACTCCGTCCGTCCCAATTTGATGGTCCCGTATTTTCTTTCTGGATCGTCCCAAATTGATAGTCTCATTTCCCTTTTTGGAAAGAAATATGTGGTCCACATCATTTCACAATTTTCTATTCAAATCTCAACCACAACTTTTACCTTTTCAACCACTTCCTTAATCTTTGAGGCCAAAAGAAATGTGACTATCATTTTGGGACGGAGGGAGTATATTCATTAACTTTCACAAATTAAAGTTGCTATTGGCTAGAAAAATAAATGCCCAAACAGTTTTTTAGTTGGAGTGAATTTTTATGGTCTAATTTGATAAACGTTACATGAAAGTATATAGGGGTTAGGTCAAAAATAATACTAATTAAAAGGATTTGGACAAATATAGTTTCACTTTTAATAATTACCAACAATGTAACTATGCGTGTGTGGCGTTTAGAAACTTAGGATTATATGCCAAATTTGCCCCCACCAGGCCTGCCTAGTCATTAGGCGGTAAATTAATACGGTCATTTGCTTGTGTTTGCTAAGCAACGAATAAAAGTACTCTGTAATTTATTTGATTTTTATATTATAATATTTTTATATTTTATTATTCTTCAATTGTAATTAGAAGGTGATCATTTACAATAACTTGATCCGATAAATTATAATTACACGTCCAATCAATTACATTTTTATCCGCTCAATTACAGTTATCTGTTTAACCAGTTACAATTATCCGATCCAACCAGTTACAATTACCCGATTCAATTAGTTACAGTTACCCAATTAATCAGCTACAATTAACAGACAAATTAGTTACAATTATCCGACCCACCAGTTACAATTACTCGACCGATCAGTTATAGTTACTCAACCCGCCAGTTACAATTACCCGACAGATCAATTACAGTTACTCGACCCATCAGTTACAATTACCCGACTGATCAGTTACAGTTACTCGATCCGACCAGTTACAATTACCCGATTCGATCAGTTACAGTTACCTGACCCGTCGAGTTATAGTTACCCGACCCGTCCAGTTACAGTTACCCAACCCGTTTAGTTCCAGTTACTTGACCCGTCCAGTTACAATTACCCGGCCCGTCCAGTTACAGTTACTGAACCGCCCAATTATAGTTACAGTTACATAACCCGTCAAATTACAGTTACCAATCCGTCCACTTACAGTTATCAACTCGTCCAATTACCCATAAACCACCGCCGGCCGCCACCCCCGGCCGCCACTGCTAGCTTCTAACCCAGCCCCTCTCCTACGCAACCACCGACCCAATTTCCAGTGTAGCCCAACCCCCCTCTCCAGCCTACCCTAGCCCACAATCCCACTGCTATAGCCAGAAACCACCACCGTTCACCATCGCTGCTGCTGGTAGAGGCAAGCCTCCCTGGCCCGTCTCCAATCCAAACCCCAGTCCTCTCTTCAGCATACCCAACCCCCAAATCCCCTGCCACCGCCGACTACTGCAGCCCCGGCCAGCACACCTTGCCCTTAATCCTTGGAAGACTGCAACCACCTCATCCTGCCTAACCACCGCACACCCCCTCCGATTGCCACCACTACCCCATCTTCCCCCACCTAACCTTTTTCCCTAGCCACCTGTTGTCTCCGCCTCCTTCCCCCATCACTGCCCCCATCAGCGCCCGAACTCCTGCCCCCACCCTTCAACTTTAACATTAGAAATGAGATCTGCCATCGATTTGAGGAGAAGGACGGCGAACCGTTAGATAGAAGTAGTGGAGAAGACAACGATGAAAGCTGCGAGATCTGCGGAATCTGCGGTGAAGAGGATCGGCGGGGATGCTAATGGTCTCAACAGCTACAGGGCGACGGCGCCAAGGCTTGGGCGGCAGAGGCGATGCCATGTCTTGGGAGGCGGCGGCGATTCCATGCCTAGGTCGGCGATTCCATGGCTAGGTAGGCGACAACCTGGTTTGGAAGGCGATGAAGCAGATCGAAAGCCGCAGATTGTTCGGGGAGTGAGATGGGTGTTTTGTTTTGAGATTATGTGGAGGGCATTTTTGCCAGTTCACGAATAAGTGGTCTCTTTTTTGTCTAGGTTTGATCTTAGTCCTATTTCTGCCCAAGGAGAAGCCCAGGGTCTTATCCGTGTCATTCTTTCAAGTATATATTTACTTTTGTTTAATTCTGATTTGATTTAGTGTGTCATGTTATGATCTCCTTAAATCTAGTTTGGTTGGATCTGGAATTAAAACAAGTTCAATTTAAAACATGGTGAGTAAAACATGTGTCATGTATAGTTGTAAGAAACTACTTGTATGGTTGTTCAACTTTAAATTTCTACAGAAAAAATCCCAGATGAACACTACAACAAAGTATAACTTTTGTAACATATGCAAAATATTGTAATAGGTGTCCAAAATGTCACAATATATTAAACGCAACATTTTTAGCATGTTGCATTCGAGTGGTGTTACAATAGAAGTATTGTAGCATTTTCTAATTTTATTGTAGCATTTTTTTGTACAATAATGTAACAATAGATACTATATTGTAGCAATTTCAATGGTGCTACAAAATGAATGGTACGATAGACACTTTTTGTATTAATGGAACATGTTAATTCAACGCCACATGTTCCAAAACATTAATAATTTGTTATTAATCAACCGCATACATTTTTCCACATATAACCATATAATAATGTGTATATACATTCAGCTTTTATGTTGAAAAAATTCTCGTCAACTCTAGGGAGGTGTTTATTTCGCTGCTAAAGTCACAGTTAGGTTAGTAAGACAGGTGAATTGAAGTATACACGCAAAATGCTTAAATAGCTGCTTACTAACCGAAAGAGATGCTTAAATTGCCGCTTACTAAGTATATCACCACCACATGTATTAATTAAACGGCACTTTAAGCTTTTTCAGTTTCCGAATTTACCACCCTACCTTGACCATAACCCCTTACCCCTTACCCTACCACGGCCCTGCCCCTTTACCCCCTACCACTTGCCCCTGTTGTAGCTTGGCCTATAATTAAAACAACGGGCTACTATTTGTACACACCCTTATAGTCACCAATGTGAGATGTTATTTTTGTCTGTGCAAAGCAAAACATGTCTTGTTTTGCACGGAACGTGTCTTGTTTTGTCTGTGCAAAACAAAACATGTTTTGTATGCATTGGAATTTTCTGATCTGGTCTTGTCTGGTTTGATCTGTTAATTTATGGTCTCTGTGTATTTTATAACTCTCCAAGTCTGGTCTGGTCTGATCTGATTTTGTCTCGTCTAGTTTGGTATGGTCTGCTGTTGTCTAAGGGGGACGAGGGGATGCAACACGAGGACTTCCCAAGGGGTCACCCATCGACTCCATATATATATATATATATATGTATATAGACATCATAGGATATTAGCTGTATATATGTGTGTGTGTGTGTGTGTATATATATATACCATGACCTTAATGTCTCATATTGCTTCAAAACTAACTGCACTAAAGCTCATTTTACCTGAGGAATTGCTTGTGTATTTTGTTGGGTGTGTTTCGAAAAACTAAGAAAATAATTAATAAAATTAATTAAATAAAATGACTTAAACGATGGTAATATTAACTCTGAATCTAGCTCGACCCCACCCTGACCCCATCCCCACGAGTAGGGTAGGGGTTACCCCCTACCTATGAGGGTTGTAGGGGAGTAGGGGTTGAGGGTAAGGTCATGGTAAGGGTAGAGGTAGGGAAGGTGTAGGGGGTCAAAGAATTGGGGGTAGGGTGTAGGGTGGTGGGGGTAAGGGAATGGTTAGGGGTATGAGTACGTGTACGAGGTGACCCTCATATATTATATTATATACTTGTATTCATGAATGTTTTTGTGTCTATATATGTATAGGGCTATTTTGGACATTTTAATGTTAAACGGTGTTTTAAATCCTTTGAAGTAACATGAACTTATAACACTGCTTATTTTATGTGCCGCTTATTAACGTGAGTCTTAATAAGCACTGTTTAGTAGCTCGTGAAGTAAACGTGTCCTAAGTATTATATGTTATCTTAATTATTTCAGTTGTTTTTTTTCCTATTTCTTATATGAATACAGAATACATATTGCTTACATTTGTTAATAGGCATTTAATGTTACATGCTCAAATGTGCAATTCTACCTTCATACGATACAAAAACTTCTCAATTTGAATATCACACACCTTATGTTTTTTAACTTACTTAAATGTTTGCTTACCGAAGGTGATTACAATATTTTGACAATGTTTGACATTGTTACACGATATTTGATATTGTTCAATCATTATAGCGCACATGTGGTAAAGTAAATTGACATGGCTTTGCTTATCAAATAAGAAAAGAGAACTTTATTAAGAGATATCCCAAAATGGAAAACAGAAAATTCTATAAGGATGAAGGGAGAGCGTCTTAAATTTATTAGTACTCCATCCGTCCCAAAATAACTTTCTTGCTTATTAGTACTCATATGAATTCATCTTTTTTCTACTCAAATCTCAATCACAACTTTTATCTTTTTCAATCACTTTCTTAAAACTTGTGATAAAACAAACAAGACATTTATTTTGGGACGGAAGGAGTAGTATATACACCGTATCTTAATTAACTCTTTCCATATTTCATCAAATTCAGTTATTTTAGTTACAAGTTCATCAACTTCAGCCAATTTCACAGTTACAAAACAGGCTCTGAATCTTATTGATATGATCTATATATTCTTATTCATCTAATACCCCTCCAAAATTCTCTATCACACATCACAACCACTCTTTGGCTTTGGCTTGATGACACTTTCCAAGTCGGTTTTGGTCTTATTTGGAAACTGGCAACAGTTGAACTTGCAAGGATCAGCCTCCACTAGCATTTGGACGACTTCATTCATGGTTGGGCGAAGGGAGGGCGTCTTAGAAGTGCAACGAATGGCAACATGAAGAACCTTAATCATGTCATCCTCAAACAGTGCTGTCAAACGTTTGTCCAAAACTTGGCATGCTCCTTCCTTGGTTTCCACCTTTGTAGAAACCCAAGACACTATGTTCTTGTTCTCTCCATATTCTCCCTCCATTGGCTCTTTCCCCGTTATTAGCTCCAACAACACCACGCCGAAGCTGTATACGTCACATTTCGTGGTTGCCTTCGAACCATATGCGTATTCTGATGTAAAGTCATCAACCGAAAATCACGAATATTAGTAGACTAACTCAATATGTCACATTCATATGTTTACAAAATCAATGGGGAATAACACATTATTCATTTCACAAACAATAACATACATATGGGGTTGATTATAACAAAAAGAGGGTTTAACGTCTGAAATCCTTTTCACCCACTCCTACTTGTATTCGTTGCACTTTATGTACAATGTAATGCATTTTTTAATGTTTCGCCAAAAACACTTATTTACAAAAGTGTAACCTTAGTTTAGTGAAGCACGCGATGACATTTTTGTAAATAAGTGATTTTTTGGTGAAATTTCAAAAATTGCATTACACTGCACATAAAGTGCAACAAATACAGGTAAAAGTGGGTGAGAATAAGAATTTCAGACCTTTTTATTACTTCTAACTTTGTATCACATGTGTGATGTGTGTATATAGTATATACATGTGTGTATAATATATAGGTAATGGTTGAAGTTCGAGGAGTTACTTTGAATCTGGCTTGAATCTAATATATGCTTATACGGAGTACGATAGTATATTATACAGATCATATAAACTTGAATAATTTATTTATAGAATGAACAATTTGATTAATTTAAGAAAGGAGAATAAAAAGAGCATATTCTCTTGTAAGAGTATTTGTTTATGTACCTGGGGCCAAGTAACCATATGTTCCAGCAATAACAGTAGTAGAGGAATCATTCCCACCTCCTCTAGCCTGCAGAACTTTGGCAATTCCAAAATCTGCAACTTTGGGATGGTAATCAACATCAAGAAGAATGTTTGTAGATTTAATATCCCTGTGAACTATAGGTCTCTGGAGATGGTGATGGAGGTAGGCTAAACCCTGAGCAACCCCCAGAGCAATCTGGTAGCGAATAGGCCAATGCAGAAGAACATTTCCCTTGTGAAGAGCATCCCAAAGGTTACCATTTCTCATATACTCATAAACCAGCAAGTTGCAGTCAAGACTGGAGAAGTAGCAATAGAGCTTCACTATGTTCTTATGCCTTATGTTTCCAAGAGTCTCCACCTCAGTTTTCAGTTCCTTGTCAAGAACCACAAATTCTTCACCTTCCTGCTCCTCCTCTTCCCACTTCCCTTTGTTGTGATCGCTCCAGAGTTTCTTCACAGCAATCTCTTCCCCGTTGCTTAGTTCGACTTTGTAGACTGTCCCGGATCCTCCGTACCCCACTATGTTCTCCTCAACCATCCCACCGAAGACTTCCCGATGCTCGAAGCTTACCCGGTGGAAGCTCTTGGAGAACACAGATGATGGAAACATGTCATCTCTGTATGCTGTCTCCTTCTTCTTGTCGCACCATCGCTTCACAAACAGGACGACTCCGAGCACGGTGATCCCTGCCGAAATCCCGAACATGCATACGAGGCCTAAAAACCGCTTCTTTTTATCCTGTGGGGTGGCGTTTGAGCAAAGCGGGAGGAGACTAGTTGTGTTTGATGAGTTTAAACATATAGGTACACAGAGCGATGGGTTTCCCGAAAAGCTTTCGAGTATGCCACCTCTTACAAAGGGGGTGGGTATTGGCCCTGATAGCATATTATTTGAGAAGTTCATGGTGTTTGGTAGAAGTTGAGCAAGACTGGATGGGATTTCTCCAGTCAAGAGATTGCTAGATAGATCAAGGTCATTGAGTGAAAGGAGGGAAGCTAAGGACTTGGGGATGGAAGAGGTGAACTTGTTGTTTTGTAGAAGCAATGTATTGAGCCTTTCAAGGCTCCCTATTTCTGATGGTATTGGTCCTGATAAGTGGTTGTTGCTCACATCAATCTTTACAAGATTGGTTGCTCCAGTGATTTCGGGTGGAAGTCTCCCTGAAATGTTGTTACCTTGAAGGAATAGTTCTGACAAGTTTTTCGCATTTCCGATTGTTATCGGGATCGAACCTTCCAAGTGATTGTGACTCACATCAATGATCGAAACCTGTGGAAGTCCGATTATGCGTTCGGGTATCTCGCCCTCCAAATGGTTATTATTGACTCGGAAGCGGACTAGTGTCTCGCATTCTCCATAGCTCTCGGGCAGCTGTCCAGAGAACTTGTTTTGAAGTACTAGTAAATATTTTAACTTTCTTCCAGAGCAGAGTTCTGGGGGCAACTCGCCCGAGAACTCATTCTCGGACAAGTCCAATGCTTCAAGAGGAGAAGACATCCCGAAGCTTCGAGGCACTACACCCGTCATATGATTGGTGTAAAGGGATAAAATTCTCAAAGTCTTTGAGTTAGCAAGAGAGGCCGGGAATTCTCCTGAGAGAGAGTTGTTGTAAACCTGAAAAGATTCTAGTTTAGGAAGAAAACATATGGACTCGGGGATTTTACCGGTTAACTTGTTGACAGACAAATCTAAATCCCTGAGTTTAGTTAGATTCCCGAGCTCTTCGGGAATCTCGCCTTCCATTTGGTTATAGTAAAGCTCAAGATACTCCAAATTTTGGAGGAGCCCGAGCTCACGCGGGATCCTACCTGCCAAGTAGTTCCCACTCAGCTCAAGATCCACAAGGGCAGTGAGGTTCCCAATTGTTGGAGGGATTCTTCCTGACAACATGCAAGTTGTCAAGATCAGATATTTGAGCTTAGTAAGCCTCTGGGAAATGTTCTTAGGCAATTCCCATGGGTTGAAGCCTGCGTTTTCGTTGAAGTAGAGCCCCTCCAAGTTGCTGAGGTTAGTGAATGACATGGGGAAGTCACCTTCAAAGAAATTGTATGACAGGTCAAGTGATCTCAAAGCCTGGAGAGGTGAAAAGTCTGGCAATGCCCCTGTGAGGTGTGTGGAACTCATGTTAAGCTCTTCCAATAAAGAACAGTTGGTGAGGCTTGCTGGGAAGCTTCCTTGGAAGTTGTTGTGAGCAAGATGGAGTATTCTCAGCTCTGGCAGATATGAACATGGATCTTCAGGGAATATCCCAGACAGTGACCATCCTGAGATGTCTATTTTCACCACATGCCCTTTATCATCACAACCAACTCCTCTATACTCACACACAGGCTTTCCATCCCAGCTGTCTATGAAGTTCCCAGTGAAGGATTTCTTCATAAAAGTAAAGAACTCAGACTGTTTGTCTAAGGTTGGATGACATGAGTAGGATAGTAAAAATAACATCAGGAAAAAAGAAGAGATTTGCTGAAGAGCCATTTGGAAATGGGAAATTTTGTTCTAGTAAACTGTTTTTATATTGTCTTGAGGATGAGAGAATAAGTGGATGAGGAAAGAAGACATTGGGGTTTGTTGCAGAGAATGCAGATTGGAAGAAATATATAAATGTGTTGTTTGATAGCATTAATGATTGAGTTTGAGTGCTGGCTTTATGCATCATCATTTCTATGATTAAGAAAGAATGCTCGTGCGGGTTTCCACCTTTTTATGGAAAAATACAACCGTTTCAGAACCAAAATCTGAGCAATCTAGCTATGTTATACAGAAACACAGGAAATATAAGAAGCATCAAACGGGAAACGTCATGACGTAAAAACAATTGCTTAGAGAGTTTTCTAGAAATTACCGAAACGAAATGTACGTTGTGAACCTGAAGTTCCCACACCGCTCGCACACAAAATGGTGTGCATGCTTATAAGCAAGGGCTGAAGTCTTCATTTGTGGACGCGGTTTAAAGTCGTGAGGTCGTGAGGTCCACAAGCAGTATAACACGTTATCAGCACGATGCTCGTGATGGGAGGTGTGTGTTGTGAATCTGAAGTTCCAACATCGCGCGCACGCGAAATGGTGTGCGTGCTTATAAGCAGGGTCTCGATAATTTTTACTTTCATATTTTCTGTACGAATTAAACTTGATTTTATTAAATGATATATGCAATCTAGTTGGAGTGAATCCAGTTTTGCCTAGATCTGGAGCTATTAGTTCTTTCCATGAATACATGATTTTTATTTTTAATAGATTCCGGGGCCCTCCAGTGTTATACACTTGACCAAGAGTGAAAGATCATAGTGCGGATCTATACATAATGAGCCTTTATGTTTGTACTTTGTGCCCCACCACTTCACCATAGATAATAACACCAATATAAAGACTAGTTATGCTGATTAGATGCCTGGATAAACATTAATTTTATCTTAATTAAAAATACTATCTAGGCCTCATATTTTATAAGATCCTCTTAACAATGACAAAAATGAGGCAACGGGCCGGTTATAGTATCCATGGGCCGTGCTGAAATTATGTACTCCGTAATTGAATTGAATATTATATAGAGAAAATAATACTGAACCTCAATTTTTGAGACAAGATAAATAATTTTATCAGAACCTTAAATAAAAATTAATTGTATAATTTATTTAGGGGGAGTTTTTTTTTGACAGAATTTAGGGGTGTTTGGTTAGGAGTCTCACCCATTTTTTGGCTTATTTGACTCATATTTAGCTTTTTGACCAGATTAAACAGCTAATAAGGTGTTTGGTTAAATAGCTTTTTCATTTGGCTTTTCATTTATCTTTCGTATATTCCTTTACTATCCAAGCCCTTGTTTTCGGTATCTACCTCCCTCCCACATAAAACATCCGCCGTTCTAATTAATTTTTGGGAGAAGGGGCAAATGAGCCCTCGAACTAATAAAAAAAGTGCATATAAGCCCTTTTGTAGAAGGTTCTGTCCGATCATCGTCATTTGGGGAGGTTCTCGGTGGAATTTTTTGATGAATTTTTTTGAGCATCTTCTTCATTAAGTCTAGTTTAGTCATACCAAATTTCAGCTAAAAATTCAACCGGGAAGGCACTCAAATGATTTTCGGAACTACACTACGTTGTTTAACTGCGCAGTAATCTTCAAAAATTCATTTGACTGTCTTCCCGATTGATTTTTTAGCTGAAATTCGGTATGACTAAACTAGACTTAATGAATAAGATGCTCAAAAAATTTCATCAAAAAATTCCACCGGGAACCTCCCCAAATGACGACAGACAGACGAAACCTCCTACAAAAGGGCTTATTTGCACTTTTTTGATTAGTTCGAGGGCTTATTTGCCCCTTTTCCCTTAATTTTTCCGCCATAGAGAAAACCAGCAATGCAGGAAGCAAAGAAAGTCAATTGAAAAAAACGAGCAATCCAGGGATTCTTTTTAGCAACACAAGGACAGTGGCGGAGTTATATAGGTGCAAAGGTGTTCATATGAACACCTAGATTTGAAAAAATAAGCTAGTACTCCCTCCGTCCCACTATGATTGTCCCATTTTACCATTTCGGTCCATCCCACTAAGATTATCTCATACCTTATTTGATAAAGTTTGTGTGGTTCTAAATCATTCTTACTTTATTCTTACTTTATCAATTCAATATCAACCACATAAACTTACCTTTTCTAATAATCGTGTCACTTTCTCTTGTCTCAAACTTAGGGGGACAGAGGTAGTATACATATATAAATTTAATTTAATTATTTATTGCCTTTTCAAATTTTAATTATATATAGAAAATAAATGAACACCCATAGTTTGGAACATAGATCCGCCACGGCAGGGATTCTTGTTTAAATGTTTTCTCCCTTTCTTTCATTTATAGCTCCAATTCGTTTTGTGGCACGAGAGTCATTTGAAAAAGTTTCAGGAAGTTTTGTGGGTTTAATAATTTTTATGTTAAAATAATAATAATAATGAGTATAATAATAATTAGAACAACAAGAACACCAACAACAATATAATATAATAATATACAGATGGAGAAAGACCACCAAATATAATATAATAATACGTAATTGCTTGAATGATGTAAAACAAAAGTTTACATTTTTTTTCTTTTTGAAACCGAGACTACCATCTTATTAATTCAAAAGATCGTTCGCCAGATGACTTACAATACAGTCTGGGATAACATCATAGCTACATCTATGATCTGAGATGGATACGTGCGCTCTAGCCAGCTTATGAGCTACACGATTCGCAGATCGTGAACAAAAAGGGATAGAAAAATTACTCTTTGTACTAATCATAAAACGAATATCATCAAGAATCAGGTCCATATATGCCAACCTACCTCCCTGAATGCCTCGAATAACGGTCTGTGCATCAAACTCCAGCTCAACTTTCTCCCAACCCTCCTCAATAGCCACCGAAAGCACCTCATGTATTCACATCGCCTCCTGATAAGTCCGTATTTAGACACGCATTTGATGCGTGTTCGGGTCAGATTTTGATGATTTTCCTAGCTTTAAGGCGTTGCAAGTCTCAATTTTGGCTCAAGTTGTGTTTAGCAGGCGTTGGATCGAGTTTCATTGCATTTGAAGTTGATTTGAAGAAGTTAGAGTCCGGCAATCGGCGCTTGAGAGGCATTCGGGAAGGATTTGAAGGCATTCGAGAAAGATTTGGAAGATTTGGAGGTCACCAGGAGATTCACGACGAAATTCTGGAGAAGAAAGAGCATTTGGATCGACCTCGTAAGCATTCGGGAGCATTCGGAACAAGAAACGAAGAAAAATGATGAAGAAAAGACCAGGCACGACCGTGCCTGGAGAAGACGGAGGCGCGGAGCTACTGGCAGCCAGACACGATCGTGTCCGGTGCAGGCACGATCGTGTCTGAACTCTTAACGCGCGATATACTCCGTAGGCACGATCCCAGGCACGATCGTGCCTGGCATCGTGTCTGGCCCCGATTTGTCCTATTTCAGCTCAAATTCTCCTGTTTTCTATAAATAAGGCCTCCATACCCACTTTTGAGGGTCACGAACTTTGGAGAGAGGCCTAGGGACGAGTTTTACCTGCGTTTTTACGTTGTTTAATCCAAGAACCTGGGATTCTTTGTAAGTTCAATTCTTTAATTAATGACAATTTATTCTATTCATCCCAATTCTTTTGATTCGTCAATTATGAGGCGTGAGTAGTTTAATTAGGGATTTGGGGTTGATGAAGGGGTTAATCATCATGTATGGCTAGATTCTTGTCGGTTTAATTGCATGAATGCCGTTTAATTTGTGTTTGAATAATTTAATTGATATCTCTTGTAACCTAGACTGCAGCTAGAATTACAATTGCATGTAGAATGAATTAAGAGAGATCTAATTTGTTCTAGGACACATTCACACACACTTAATCGTTCGCTAAGAGATTAGTAGCGATTAAGGGGCCGTAAGCTCGCTCGTTTTGGCAATAATTTAGGATCTTGTCGCATGAGAGATCAGCCTGGACTCCTAAATTATTGTACTCTTCGCCGCGAGAGCGGTAAGAACTTAGTAATGATTAGCTAGGCTCAATTAATTTAAATTCATGTGATTAGGCCTGTTCTGCCAGAAATCTGGTTAACCCCGGAATCAATTCCTGTTCCCTTCGTCGTTAATTAAGGAAAACCAAATCTTTTTACCTGCTCCTTAGCATTAGTTTTAATTTAATCAATCAACCAATCTCGCACAATTGCACTTTTATTTTATTTATTTCTTTTTAATCGTTGAATTTAGTTAATCCTTATTTCCCTTTTGTCCGTCCCTGTGGAGACGATACTCGTACTTTCCACCACTTTTCTACAACCATTTTAAGTGCGAGAAAACACTCATCACCTCCGCTTCCGCCAGGCTCAAGTCAGCCTTCATCGACCCCCCTCCGGCTTTAACAAAAGCCCCTTGCTCATCCCTTACCACCCAACCCCGAGCTCTTCTTCCCCCTTGCATATCTGTTGCAGCATCCACGTTAATCTTTAAGAAACATGCGTTTAATCTTTAAACAAATACCCGCCGGTTTCACACCCCCCTGAGCCTCCCTCCACGCTAGCAACATGCAGGCACAACTGTTTAGCAGGCTAACCGTCTCCTGCATTTCATCCTCCCACACTAGTGTTCCTTCTTTTCCATAATCCCCATGCTATCATGGCCACTTTACAACTTAATTCTTTATCAGCACATGAAAGAAGATTTTGAAGCCATACCTCGAAAGATATATCCTCATTGCCAAGTGCCACTCCCGCCTCCTTCCAAGCCGCGGCTGCCTTCGGACAAGACTTTAATGCATGCTCCGTTGTCTCCTCTCCCCGGCCGCAGACCTTGCTGATTGCATTGATTTTTGAGTGTTTATATTTTTACTTTTAATTACTTTTTACGGTGTGTTGTTGTGGTAATTGCACATTTACGGTGCAATCATTTTATTTTTCTAGTTTGTTGTAATTTAGTAAATTTAGAATCATCCTGAGCAAGAATCAATCAAGAATCAATAAGTGCACGGGCAGTTGCCAAGAATGGTCTGCCCAATATCAATGGTACCTCCCGATCCTGATCCATGTCCAAAATAACAAAGTCCACCGGAAAAATAAATTTGTCCACTTTAACCAACGCGTCTTCAATAATCCCTTGGGGATATTTGACTGAACGATCAGCCAACTGAATGCACATACGTGTAGGTTTAAGTGGACCGAGTGCAAGCTTTTCATATAAAGCAAGAGGCATCAAATTAATGCTTGCACCCAAATCAGCCAGGGCCCTATCAAAAGTAAGATCTCCTATAAAGCAGGGAATAGTAAAAGAACCTGGATCCTTAAGCTTCTTCGGCAGATCTGTCCGTATCACAGCTGAGCACTCCTCATTAAGCGTCACAGTAGACGCTTCCTCCAGCCTCCTTTTGTTTGTGAGCAAATCCTTCATAAACTTCGCGTACTTCGGCATTTGAGCTAGTGCATCCACGAATGGTAAGTTAATCTGCACGTGTTTCATGAGATGCAGAAACTTACCAAACTGGTCACTATCGTTCTTCCTAGTCAATCACGCCGGATAGGGGAGAGGTGGGGTGTAATTCTTGACCGGAACGGGCTGTTTTGGTGCAGCCGCCACCTCTCTTCCCTCTTCTTTCTCCTTTTCTTCTTCCCGGGCAGCCGGTTCAACTTCAACTTCATCAGGCTTCTTTGTTATGGCAGCA